ACAGAGACCAGATTGGCTGAACTGTCCTCTGTCAGAACGACAGCTGCATCCCTGAAATGGGCACCAGGTTGGTTACAGAGTGACGGCCTCACTTGCTGTTGTTGTTGTTAACACTGCAAACGAAATGGTCCTGGGCTGCATTTATTTTTAAGTTTGCCATTTGATCTTGAAACAGTGTTAAATAAATACATATAGAATCGAATTTTCAATGAACAGCTAAAGCACAGTGTATCTTAATTTTCCTACCATATGATCGCTTCTCTGTAACATCATACGTCCTAGTACATACTTTGTAGTTGATTTTATCTGGGCTACATTATACTCACTATCTTCAGAGCAGTGTTATTTGAGTTCTAGGTTAGGACATTCTTTTGTTTTCAATGCACCAATTTCTCCCCATTCTATCCCTTTTCATTGCACTTTAAATATCTGGACAATCTGGAGAAGGTACTGGCCCCAGCCCTGAGCCTGGAGACGGGTCCCGACTTTGCCAGTTTCTGATGAAACTCAAACTCGTTTCTCTGGGCTCTACCACCTGAACTCTCTTCACCTACGAAGTGAGGGTTTTGTGAAAATTGAACAGTACATTTTTGGAAAACGCATCCTGGAAAGGAAGGCGACATACCCGCACAAACACCGATCACTGTTGCTGTGGTCGCCTGAGTGCCAGAACGAGATTTCTCTCCTTGTGACTCTACTACTTCCCTTTGCAACCCCATGGCAGTTACAATAGGCACGCTATGCAGCTGTGCCTTTGTGCCAATCCTGAAGCCCACGGCCTCCTTCTCCCCTTGAACCAAGCCAGTGACTCATCCTGGAGCTGACTGCCAGGCAGGGCTGGCTGGGTCGGCTCTGGCTGAGTGTCCTTCCACGCCTGGCCTTAGCTCACTGCCTGATAAACGGTGGGCATGATAAACCTGTGACGAGTATCTTCTATAAAGTGTGTCATTTGGAAGCGTTTTCTTTTGGTGCCTTAAAAAAAAAAAACCCATCGGGCGTTAGTCTGTAGCACGGTCTTAGTCACCTGCGATGTCTACTAGATGCAAGGTCTCAGGCCGTCCCTGCCGCCTCCACTTAGAAGCCCACCGCAGGTGCTTCATGGCACCGCTCCGTGTTTGTGTCTTTGTTAAGGATGATCGGCTGTCCTGGGGCTGGTGAACTTGCGGCTACCTTGCTGTCCGGGGATTCACAAGAGAGAACTTGCCATTTAAAAAGACAGCGTGAGTACTTGGATGACTCAGAGAGCGTGTACTTTCTGCTCTAGTTAAGAGAAGAGAACTGTCCTTGAGAACGCGAATGAACATGCCCTCGTCATGAAACCAAAGGTCCCAGTTAGCACGCTTGTGTACACAAAGAAGGACCTGACCCATCCCTGTTCTTAAGTTACTTCTACAAGAATCTTGCCTATTATTGCCAATTATAAAACACTGCTTTCCAAAGTCTATTTGAATTGTAGCTCCTCTGCCATAAAATTCTAACATATTTTTTTCAATAGATAAACCTCTAAACTATGTTTAATACAATTAAATAAATGGAATCAGCTTTTAACTTATCATTGAGCCGCTCCCTCTCACATTTATCTCACAATTCTCACTGGTCAATGGAGTCTGATAAAGTATGATTTTTCAAATGATGATAAATTGGTTCCAGATCAAATTTAATGTTACACATTTTGACATTATCTTAATTCAAACGTTTCTGTGCTAGTTTTTCTATACCATGTGCATTTGATTACCGGTCTTGTTAAAATCATTATAATGCCTCAAATAGTACCATGTCTCTAAACGTGATATCGCATAAGGCTGACAGTCAAATAAGGCTTCTGTCCTGTTATACACTTGACTCATGCTGTTATGTAACTGAAAACAGAAGGATTACCCGGCTACCGAAAACGAGCTACTGGTGGCTCTGATCAAACTCAAAAAATAAAAGGGAGAAGGAGAAGAAATGATTCTCACACATTTTGAAGGCAACTTCCCATTAATGATCTTATATAGTCGCCAACTGTATTCCACTTACCACATCTGTACATTTCCCATGGCCAAATCCACCTTTCACAGACACGGCGTGTCCCTGTGTTCGTGCACAACAGCCTAGGCGTTCTTGCCCCTTTCCCTCTGCTCCCCGACCGCTCTCCCGGCACCCTCCACCCCTCCTCCAAGTTGTCTGCTTTCCTTTATGTATTTACAGGCACCGGCATTGCTCTTGTCCCTCAGCGTTCAAATCAGGGCCTTCCATGCTTCCCCACTCACTTTGCTTTGGAACCGAATCACATCAACTCTTTCTTTGGGGGGAAACAACCCAAACTCTTTTTTTCCTCCCCATAATCTCAGAATAGCAAACTCTCTCTGCCCCAAAGCAGAGAAGACCTTTCAGTATTATGTCCCTTTTCTCTAAAGATCAGTCTGACCTGGACCTTCCCTGCAAACCACCTCAAGTCAGTAGCGGATGCAAGGACCACCATACAGATTCACTCCGCGGAGGGCTGAGTACAGAACCCCAGCATGACCATGACTGGCCTGGGGAACGCCCCCACTTAGCCATGCGCCGTGCTCGCCTTCCCGACTCTAAAGCAGGGCTAATGATGCCTGGCTCATAAGGCTTCTCCTAGGATTCATCTAAAACAGGCAGCCTAGAAATCGGCACTCCATACTGCGATAGCTATTATTTCATCCAGATTTTAAGTTAAGTGTTCTGAAACTTTCTTTGCAATTTGACAAAATTATCCTTAAGTACGTTTGGGGTAATAAGTGAGAGAGAAATAAGTAGGGACTTGTGACCCAAATGTCAAGATGTTTTCTGTTGAAAACCACACCCTGCTGGGCATCAGAAGCAAGTGAACACGTAGGGCCAAGAGCTAAAAGCTCTCAGAGGCGCGGATGTAAAATCCCACTTACAGGAAGACCTTCTGATAGAAATTATCTCAAATAGAATGACCGAAAGCTGAGCAAGTTCACTGTAGGCAAATGTGCAACAGCACAACCCGAGACACTGTAAACATCCCACATGAGCTGGCGAGGAAGCCTTTACGTACCATAATAACACTCATCCACTTTAAGTCATGCATTTTAAAGGGTTTGTAGAACAAAGCGTTGGAATGCAGAAAGCACAAAAACACAAAATCGAAGACACAGTATGATCCCAACTGTGTAAAAGTAGGCATGGACACAGAGGGGAAAAAACCCCACTAAAATCTGAAGGATGACTGCTTCTGTGTGGGGGGATTAAGGAAGTTTTCCTTTTCTCACACACTGTCCTGTGTCTCACACCTTTCCTGCAGTTAGCAGGTGTTATGTCAGGGTGGACCATCGACCTTCTGTCTAACAGTCAAAACTTCTCCAGCAGCTAATTCTCTACAGAGACTGAGGGCTGTTTTACCACTTGTTCAGTATTAGCATCTAGAAACTAGATGCTATCTCTCTATTTTGAAGATGACTTCAGAAGGACATCAAATTAAATGAGAAATAAAATATAGCTACTTCTCATGGCCAAACCCTATATTCACATTCCTTCCTATTTCAGACTTTCATCCACAAGGAAGTATAACTTCATGACCGTAGAAGGCGAATTCACAAAAACATACATAACCAAACTCTTACAAAGAAAATGCATGTTCCCAATCCTAGTATGTTTCTTACCTCTGAAATCTTGCTAAAGGTATTAACTAGGGTATTAACTGGGAAATTTAAATACTGTGTATGACTTCACTGCTATAGACATTCTCATTCAGAGGAACACTGGGGGCATCCTGGTTAAATCTTAGAGGATTTAGCAGCTGGGAGAGCCCACAGAAAGGAAAATGTCCATTGAATAGACAAGGAAACTGAAGGCACAGATGGCCGGGTACCCACTCAAGGCAGGAGTAACAGCTACTGCTCGGCCCCAAGGGAATACTCTGAATGGCTAAGAGGCACGTCCCACAGGCATGGTTAGCGTGTTCTGCTGCCCTCACGGTGCTGAGGGCTGGACAAGTCTCTTGTGGACCCGGAACACCGTCTCAGTGCCATCGTGAACCAGCCACACACCTGGGGAATGGTGTCACAAGCCTCTCTGTCTCTCAGCTTCGTCCTCTGCACAGACCAGGGGATGTCAGAAGCACAGAAAATGTCCAGAGGACAAAGAGGGAATGCCTTGGACTCAGGAGGGTCCTCCCTCAAGCCCTGTCCGTGTCTTACACAAGCGCAAACCACCCTGTACCACCTCTGAAGCTGATTTTCACAGAACGGGTGCTTGGCAACTTTGGCCCTAAAATTTAACTTCTTAATTATATTCCACCAATTTCAAGTTACAGTCCTTTGGATTAGCCAGAACAATTTTGGGAAGGAGAGGAGAAAGGAGGAACGTCGGCGTATCTCTTAAGAACATTTATGAAGGAAGTTGGTTGTCACTAGCTGGATGAAAAAAGATTAGAATTGGTACACTGATACTCAAGGCCCAGATGAAAGAGCTTAAAGGAGCTGAAACCGGCCAGATGCCCCGGGGAGTCTCCTGTATTTGCACCTGCATTCGGAGGGCCTCAATTCAAGTCCTCTGGCTCAAGCTAGGACCACTGGGAGTCCCTGTCAATGCCAAATAGCACGCGCCTGGCTTTAAAGGCAAATTCCTTTGCATAATGGAACCAAGGAGAGCAATCAAAATGTTGAACACTGCCTTGTCCAACAGGCAATACATGTCCTTTATGCATGTCAACTTCTGAATCTTGCTTTAACTTGAGTAGGAGGAAACACAGCTGACTCTGAAACCATCTTCTGCTTCCATTTCTGCAAACATTATCTGCCTCTTTCCTCTGACTCATTTCAGGGACCCCACACTTGCAGCAGCCTTCCTCAGGCACAAAGCGTGGGGTAGGGCAAGGACTCTTTTATTTATTTATGACAAATCGAAGGGCATAGGACTGCAAACGTGGCCAGCGAGGCCTGGCTAATGTACCGATCAGCAAAGTTTCTGAAAGGCACTTGTGCCCCGAAAATTGTAAAATCAAAGCATAGGTGGTAACTTACCCAAAGTGACTGGCTAAGTTCATGGAAATACAAAAGAGAAGGAGGTTTTTGATCATGATAAAGCTAGAGAACATTCCATTGTCCATTCCCAATGAGAATAATAGCTGAGGTGGACGAATTTGGAAGAATAGCTGTTCCTTTCTCCAACTTGATCTTGAGGCTGAAAGGTACAGGGGGGTAAAGCAGATAAACATGAATGTTTTCGTGCCACAGTTCCCGGAATCAAATCATGCTGCTCACACACACAATTCAGAAAGAAAGGAGCCTGGCTGTCCTTTCCCAGCCCAGTTCCACATCAGGTGTTATCTGTGGTCACTGGCCACTAAGTTGGGGCATAAAAAGACGTTACAACACAGCTTAATTTTCACTCAGAGTGCAGAATCATTCTCCTAATTTATTTTTCCCGTGTCTCAAACACTTTACTTTTTAAACCATGTTATCAAATGACCCATTAGTACTATTATTAGAACAAATGCCTGAAGTTATCTAACTGTATTTTGCATCTGTCAAATCCACAAGTGGAATAATATTACCTTTCTGAAATATTTGCCACGCGTTCAAAGCCAGCAAGCTACTCCTTGTTCTGCAAGGTGCTGAGAGGAGGTATGTGGAAAGAGGGGGAAAAAAAGGCACGTTTAAGAAACAGGTCTTCTATACAAGATCACGACAATATAAGAACTGCTTATAAGAGAAGGTTGCCGCTTTCTCAGCATTCTGTCCCTGAGACTAAATCACTTAATAATCACTGCATTTGGGGGAAGTCTCTCGGCTCTGTGCTGGGCCCTAATTAATGCATTTGAAATCCAGGCAGGCATAGTCCCTGAGCCCTGCAGCTAACCTTAGCGGAGGCATATATTTCTCAGTATGCGCATAATGCAACTAGGTGCACATCACATAGGAACACCGCGTGTTCAAAAGAAACATTTTCTCAAGGCGACCCCAGGCAAACTCCGGAAGACGGAAACACACAACAGGTACTTGCACCTCACAAGCAAAGGCCCTCGAGTGTTGAAAGGCATAGCGAGGGTCGCCTGGGCACGTCCTGGGGCTTGTCGCCAGACCCGGGCGGGAGTCCCCGCGGCGAGCACCCGGCGCTGCATGCGGGAAACCCGGGCGGCGCCCACGGCTGCCCTCAGCCCGGAGCCGGGACCCCAGAAAAGAGGCTGCTCTGCCCCGG